TATATTGAGAGGCCGATTGCTGTTTTGGAAAGGAAAGTGAAAGTCCTGCGCAACAAGGAGGTTCTGTTGGTGAAGATACAATGGGAGCATCAGAGGGGATCCGAGTGGACATGGGAGTCGGAGGCTGAGATGCGGGAACATTACCCGGAGTTATTCGCTACAGCACACTTCGAGGACGAAGTCTAAGTTAAGTGGGAGAGAATTGTAACATCCCAACCGCCAGCTAACTTTATTATTCCATTAATATTTCATGTTTTAAGGTCTACTCGACGAGTTGACGCTATGAATCGTCGAGTAGCAGCGGGCTAGGATACGTCAATTAATGAGTGACTCGTCGAGTCGGCATGAGGGACTCGACGAGTAGGAGCTGGCAGTGGAAACCCTAATTTTCAGGGTTTTTGCACCCTATATATTGGACCATTAGCGCCTCCTACTGTCCTCTATCACCCCTTGAGAGCCAGAAACCCTAATTTCCGTGAGTGTGAGCTTGGAGAGTGTATTGGAGCTTTAAGGAGTGATTTTGTGAAAGGAACTTGTAGATCAAGAGGCTAGCATCAAGGGTTTTGTGTGGATCTAGAGTCTACTTCAGCTTGGGCACGTTTTAGAGGTAACCAGCTGTCACCTTAACCTCTTTTCTCCTAGAATCATTCATAAGTGAAGACTAGGGTTTTCTTTAGCTATTTATGAAGGGATTATGGTTTGGGAGCTAGATCTGAAGTTGAAACTTCAGATCTGAACCTCTTTTGAGTCCTAAGTCCATAAAGTTTCCAGCTCTTGCAAGGATGAGACTCTCCTAAGGTGTAAAGTTCCATTAGGAGCTTAGATTGGTCATTTAGAACCTTTAGGGCCTTGCATGTGTGTAAAGTTTGCAACTGTACGTGATAATCATGCCTTAGAAGCTTGGATCTGTAATCTGGAACCTTGGCATGGCTTAAAAAGTGTCTGCATGGATTAAGCTCTGCAAGGACTCGGCGAGTCTTATGAAGATGGTCATGAACTCGTCGAGTTGATGAACAAACTCGATGAGTCCGTTGAAGATTGCCTTGAACTCGGCGAGTCGTTCGAAGACTCGGCGAGTCGGCTAGGGTTTCTCCCAATTCTTGGACACGTATGAACTCGGCGAGTAAAAGGGGAACTCGACGAGCCAATCAAGGATTTCACGACTTCTCGAGTTCAGGAAGGACTCGACGAGTCGGTAAACTACACTCGACGAGTCGAGTCAACATGGACTGTTGACTTTGACTGTGGACTTTGACTTTGACCAATAATTGACCAGTTGACTTCTGAGGGTATTCTGGTAATTTGGAAATTTATGAAAAAGGGTTTTATGGTAACTATAGGTGGTAGAGTTCGTGTTGGTGATCTGGGAGTTGAGCTTTCTGGTTTCAGACGTCAGTTGCGAGGTGAGTTATCCTCACTATATCAACAGGGTCTAAGGCACCAAGGCCGGCCCTTATGGATTTGTATTTGGATTATTACATGATATGTGCATTGTTTCGCATCCTGTTAGTTAGGATGGTGATATGCTTATGCTTAGTGATCGGGTTCGGTCGATATCCTAGTTACAGGGTTATGCTATGATATGACCTGGGTAGGTCGGTGTCCTGGTTTTAGGACGTTGCTATGCTATTTAATATGTTAGATCGGTTTGTCTGTTATTATGATAGCCTATGAATGTATATGCACATGTTGTTTGATTTGGGTGTTGGGTTGAGGTGGTCCTCCTTTGTGCTGAAGGCCAACATACCCAGGGCGGTCCGGATAGACTACAAAACCCAAGAGGGTATGATAGTCAGACTGAAGGCTCGGCGAGCGGTCCGGATAGGCTGAAGGCCCTGCGAGGCGGGCCAGACGTGCCGAAGGCTCGGAGAGCAGTCCAGATAGACTGAAGGCCTGCGAGGCGGTCCACTCAGGCTGAAGGCTCATTACGCTTGCTGTTTGGTTATATGTTTGTATGACATGGTTATGTGGTTGGTATTATGGGGGATAGCTCACTAAGATTTCAGGCTTACAGTTTCAGTTGCTATTTCAGGTACCTCTGGCGATCGCGGGAAGGCGAAGGCATGATCGTACCGCTCCTCTCGCTGTTATGACTTTTATGATTTGATACTGGGATACTCTGATAACTATATTTTGAAAACAAACTATGTAATGACTTAATGGATTAAAATGTTTTAAAAGTTTAAATTGGCTTGAAATTTTTGGGTGTTACACATGTAGAAAAAGAATAGACCGCCCAAGGTATATGATGAATCGTGGAATCAAGTATTAATCAAACTCAGAGTAAAACGAATGCAGATTGAACAAACAATGTAAATAAGATCTGGTTTCTGCTCATTTATGCTTTCAACGTTTACAGAGAAAAATAGACTGGTTCTGTAAAGTCCTTTTGTCTAACTCTAGTAAAGTTCCATATTTATAGGAACAGTGAAAGCATACAAAAAATACTAAGGCATTGACACTTAAGCTTCGTACGGAATACACCTTAGTAAATAAACTTAACAAACATTCGAAGGGTACAAAAGACTTCGACATATTACAACTAAATTCGACCCTTACAATCTCCCCCTTTGTAATAATGTCGACCTTCGTCAGTTCAAGAGTATCTGTATAGCATACAGCATTACCCTTCGAATCTCAGTGTACCACGAGATAATCTTCTTCAGCTCCTTCTTATCTCCTTCATTATTCTTCTTGCATCTATTCATACGAACAATGAAATTCGTATATTGGGATGTTGTGTATCTTTCCACTTCGGAAGCTTGGAATAGGAATATTTTAGCCTTCCAATTTTTATCCTTCCCAGCAAAGACCAAGCCAAACGAACTTCAAACAAATTTCCCCGTCTGCATACTTCTTCAACTCAGGTTCAGTTAAAGGAAGTTTCATTGGAACTTTCACTTTCAATCCCTTTGCAGTAGCTAACTCAACATCGGTAAGAGCTAAACACTCATAGTAGTTGTCAATGAAAATATTGATGTGAGCAAGCCCAAGTCGAAAAACTTCAGGATCAGTTTCTCGAAGATATGAAGCATCTTTATCCTTTAACAACAATACAACTTTTATCAGATCATACAAGTTCATCAAAGGAAAATTTGCCATTGAGAAATCACAAACTTGACCATTTGCCCTCGAAACAAAGAAGCGAAGATTATGCATCATATTTTCGAATAACACATCCCTCTTTATACTTATCACCTTCTTTATCTTCACGAGTGACCAAATTTCCTCTGGAAGCTTTCCAAGTACAGCATGAAATCTGATTTTCATGTATGTGTACTCATCATCATTGTCAAACTTCTCAGCAATTTTATACTGAGCCATAATAAACATCATCTCATTAACAGGAAAATCCAGTTGATTCATGTCTGTGTTGAGAACAACATAGCTCTGCTTCGGCTTCTTTTCAAAAGCATACATACGATTATATGCAACTTTCAACTCAATCGTTTCATAGTTGTAATGCTTTGAAGGATCACCCTTGTTCATTCCAGGTGGATCGTTCGCACGAAGTCGCATTATGCTTTGCACAATTCGTAACTTTTCAACCTCAGCCTCTGCTTCAGCTTTCTTTTCCTCCTTCAATTTTTCGATCAAAATTATTTTTCCTTTATCTTTGATCGAAGAGCCACCAACATTTTCTTTAGGATTTGAACTACTGCCACCTTCCCCAATCATAATTCCTTTAGAGATTGGCTTCGTGAGAATTGGCACCGTAGTAACAATTGTTGAAGTAACTGGCTCAGCTGTTGACATAATTGGTTTTGTTGTTGGAATCTTCGAAGAAAACACCGTTCCAACAACCTTTGCATCTGCATGCAAATCTTCACCACCAGCCTTCGTACCACCAACTTTCTTCTCTCCCCCTTGCACCCCTGTGTAAACAGGTCGGGCATCGATTGGAAGAAGGCTCGAAATTTGAGAAAGAGGAGCCAATTGCTTATGTAAAATGGCTTCTAAATGGTTGAACTTCTGAGACAAAAATTTCGGAGTAATCAACGAAGATGAAACTGGTTTTACAGTTAAATCTTTCAGCTCCATCAGCAGCTTGAGCACTTCCATAAAACTTTGATTTTCCGTTGTAGAAAGTTGAGTAAGTTGAGGACTCAAATTTTCATACAACTTGACATATTTGGTAACAACATCACAAATAATGTCAACTTTTTGATTTATCGAAGCATAATCCCTTTGCACGATTGCAATCTCCTTTTGCATATCCTGACGAAGTTCCTGAATTTGCGAATTCACATCCTCCCTGACTTTCTTTACATCCTGAACGAATAACACATGTCGTTCCTTCACCAAATTCTTGAATTCTTTCACCTCCCCTCTAAACATCGAAGTTAGAGAATTCACTCTTAACTCATCATTCTGATCATTGTGATCAACCTTCTCCAAGAGTCTAGTCTCCGAGTCTCGAACCATTCCAGAAACTTTACTCACCACCTTTGCTTCGAAGGTTTTCAACAAACTGTCAACTTCCATACTGGACACAGACGAACTACTCCCAAGTCTGCTTGAGATTGAAGAATAGAATTCAATTTCTTGTTTAGAATCTTGAATTGTTTCATCGTCATCAACATATGATCAGAAAAGTTGTCTTCTTCATCATCAAACTCCAAATCTTCAAACATTCCTCCAAAACCTCCGTTGTCACTATCAGTTTCAACAACATGTGAACCTTTAACAGGTGAATCGATTTTGGGTGGATCAGTGTATTGAGATGGAAAAAGAGTTGTAAAGGTTGATGGAGAATGTTTTCAAAGGTAGGTGAATTTGTAGTATTCGGAACAATAAAAGGAGGTAATGAAACGAAAGTATCCTTTATCGAAGATGCAGGAATACCTTGAGTTGTAGCACCAACTTCTTTGTTAGACTCTCCTTCACCCATATTGACATTTACAACCGTATCAGATACGTGTGTAAAAATGCCTGAAGGTCGAACCTCCTCAGTATGTTATTCAGTTAACGAAACTTCGGGTGGTATGACAGTAGTCTTCTCAGGAGTAGATAGAGATTGAAAATAATTGTTCTGGTGTTTCAGGAACTATCTCTTCTTCGGACGACTCCTCTTGTATAACCAACTTTCGTTGCCTTTTCTTCTTCTTTGAAATGTGTTTAGCCACGTCTTCAGCTCTACGTTTCTTTGACAAAGGCGAAACTGGAGCTGGAACCTCACGAAAAATTACTCCTTGATGAGAAAGTTGTGGTTTACGAACATTTGAAGGAGAAGATTTGAACAAACCATCTGAAGATTTTCTTGAACCCCGAGTCCTCTTCTTTAATCTTCGAAAAACACCAGATTTTGAAGGAATTTTCTCCTTAACTAGAGTATCATCAACAGGTTCCATGGCTTGATTACAACAGTCGAAACATTTACTTCTGGCTTCTCAGGCTTCTTTGGGGACAGCTTGGATTCGTGCACATGCTTCTCAGGAGACTTCTTAGTTTCGTGCACTGGCTTCTCAGGTGTAGCCTTTGCATCCTTCTTAGAACGTTTTGGTTTCTTCGAAGGACCATCCTCTTCTTTCGACAATAACTTTCCAGTCGCAACATCAGGATTGATTGTTTTCAAGTACTCAACCAACACCGAATTTGTTGGCTCAACCCTCTTTAGAACTGCATCAGGAATCCTGGCAATATGTGTGAACACTTCCATATCATCATAAACTTCCTTTGGGAAGTGATACTTCATAAACTCAGCTCTTTCTTCATCAGCAGGTACTGCAATTCCTTCTTTTCATAAAAATAACCAAGGATCAAACTCCAATACCTAGCACACGAAATGCCTTGAACCACATTCGTGTTTTCGACACTCTTTTGGAATTCCTTCCACAGTTGTGTAGAGTAGTCGACTGAAAGATCATAGTACAATCCTGCCACCATCGCATAAACCTCCATGCGACCTTTGTCTAATCCAACACTTCGACCAGTCAAGCATCAAAGAAAAATTCCGAACAAGAAATTCCAAACAGTTGGAAGAGCTGACTTCTTGAAATCACTAATCTTCGTGAGTGGGGGTTGATGACCCATCTCGTTAAACATGTGAACAACTTGTGCATAAGTGAGATCAGTAATAAGTTGAGAATTGGGAATATCAGAATCTGGCAAAAGATCTTCTTAGACAAACGGATTTTCTTGTCATTCACCAGTTGAAAAGTGATGATATCCATTGCTTTGCTATACGTAGCAGTGGATCCTGCCTGTGAAAGCTAAGAGAGAAGAACTGCGAACGAGTTGAACATCGCCTTCGAAAGAACAGAACTCTTCAATGCTACGATTAACATCTTCAACTCTTCAGGATATAAAGACACATCCCCTTCCACTTGATAATTGGTGCTTTGAATCTTCATTATTGGTTGAGAAGTGATGTCTTCGGTTGTTCGAGAAGCAGAATCAACACCAGCCATGATTAGGGTTTTGAAGCTTTGAAGAACAGAGAGAATTTGGGTATTTTTTTTTTCTTTTGTGAGCGTAAAGAGACAAAGAACCCGTAAATACCCTTTTTATATGTAACCCTGAATTTTGAATTGAACGCGGGATAAGCATTAATTGAGATCTGACGTGGCACCTTGAAAATCGCACCAGTCTGCCAATAAAGTTGCCATGCGTCAAAAAGTAACTGTCACACCGCCTTGAAACCAGGACTGAATACAAAACGTCTCATCAGACAGTCTGTTTGAGTCACCTCAAAGAATAGTAACCGTCACCAACCTTCGGATTGAGGTTAAGCTCTTTCGTCTTTGGGTTTAGAGACGAAGTCATTTGCTAGACTGTCGAAATCATCAGCCTGAGTTGGTATTACTCAGAACCTCAAGGATTTCGTGTGTGCAGTGTGCCAAAGAAAAGATAAGAAGCAAATTAACGAAAATTTGGATCTGTGATGTCAAAAAAAATTTCGACACAAAAGCAGATAAACCCCGGGCAAAGGTTGCTTCATTAATTATCAAGAGAGATAATCAACTGCTTGTGTATGTTCCCGTGAATTACAATCGAATACTTATAGAGAAGTATCGAAGGGCTTCTTTTGTTAGGCTTATCGGGTGGTTTATAATTTCGTTACATATCAACCTAAACATAAGGTGAGTAATTGTAACGGAAATTACTTGTTTGACCAGTGTAGTCAGTGACAAGTATGATTTGAATTATGTTGATAGTAACTTTGAAAGCAAATGAAACTCATACAGAAATCATATTCATGAAAAATGTTTGTTCTGGATCCTCTTGGGTAACAAACATCGTGGGCTTCGATAGTTTGATCAAGATCACTCATGAGAAAGGAATATGATTTTGAGTTTCGAAAAATGGTACTGAAACAAATGTTTCGTCAAAACTGGAACATAGTTCCCCGTCAATTCCTTACGAAGATAGAAAGTTGGGTTTCACTTTCATCACGGCCTCATGATGTCAGATCATTAACACAAATTTTGATTATATCTAAATCTTGATGGGTCGAATCAAAGATCTCTTGGACATATGTCTTCGTGTGTGCAAGTGTAAAAATTTGGTGATGAAAAAGATTGGTTTTGAGTAACGAATTGTACCTCTGTTATTTTCGGACAAAACAGATAACTCTTAACTCATGTGAGAAGAGTAAGGTAGCTCAATTGACTAATGTGAATATAAGCCTGACTTGGGAAGAAATTTTCGTATGAAAAATTTCATTAAGGCTTTCGTAAACACACATTGAGTCTACAGAGGCTTGGGTCAACATGCTGCAGCATGCTTCTAGGGACAGTCTAACTAGTACATAGTTGTCGAAAGTTTACCTTCCCATAGAAACACAAGCATGACCCTTGAAAAAATTTCGTGTAATCTGCACAAAGAAAAAAAAAACAAAGAAAATAACAAAAATCTTTTTGATATTTTTGATTTTTCTAACAGAAAGAAAATATTTTTGTGTGTTTGTGAATTTTTCGAAAAAGAAAACAATTAACAAAAGAAAATCTTTTTGGATTTTTTTTGATTTTTCGAAAAGAAAACAACAAAACGAAAATAAAATCTTTTTGGAGTTTTTGATTTTTCGAAAATAAAACTAAGATACAAACTTAAGAAAAACATTTTTAAAAACATACGAAAATTTGTAAACAAACTACAATTTGCCATTCTTACGAAAATTTGGCAAACTAACGAAAATTTTGTACCACACAACCAACATGCAAATTGTCGAATTCGAAGCGTGTCGAAGCGTTGACTATGAACAGTAACCGCTGAATGACGTCTTATTGCCTCTGAATCAACACGTTTGTATAGCACTTCTTTGCTATACATTCGAAATCCTTCCTGGAACAGAACTCGCTTCAATCATTCCCAAACCTGTCAAAATTCGAACAAATGATTTTTCATCCAAAGCTTTTGTAAAAATATCAGCAAGCTGATCAGTTGTTTTTACAAAATGAACTTCAATGTTTCCATCTTCCACATGATCTTTGATAAAGTGATAACGAAGAGCTATATGTTTTGTTTTCGAATGTTGTACTGGATTATGACAAATGCGTATAGCACTTTGAGAATCACAGTACAATGGAATCTTTTTCATATTCACAGCATAATCTCTCAACTGACTTTGGATCCAAATAATTTGTGATGTACAAGCAGCAGCTGCAACATATTCGGCTTCAGCAGTAGAAATCGAAACACACGTTTGCTTCTTCGACTGCCAACTAACCAACTTTCCATCCAAAAATTGACAACCACCACTTGTACTTTTTCGATCCAAGGTACACCCTCCTAGATCTGCATCTGAAAATGCCTGAATGAAAAATCCTGTTTTCGAAGGATACCACAATCCTAACGAAAATTTTCCATTGAGATAACGAAATATATTCTTCACAGCTGTTAAATGTGGTTCTCGAGGATTTGCTTGATACCTAGCACAATTACATACAGAAAACATGATATCAGGTCTACTTGCAGTAAGATAAAGCAATGAACCTATCATGCTCCTGTATAAAGTAAGATCAACCGCAGGCGTTTCTAACGAAGGTGTTAGCCTTGTGCCAACAGCCATTGGTACTCTTAACTTCGTGCTATTTGTCATTCCAAATTTTTCGAGCAAATTCCTTGTATACTTTTCCTGATTGATGAAAATGTCTTCTCTGCTTTGATAAATGTTTAAGCCAAGAAAATTATTGATTTTGCCCATCATGCTCATTTCAAATTGGCTTTTCATCAAATTTTCGAATTCACTAGACAAAGCAGGGTCAGTAGAGCCAAAAATAATATCGTCAACATAAATTTGAACAAGCATCAGATGATTCCCAACTTTCTTTCGAAATAATGTGGGGTCAACTGATCCTTGTTTAAATTTCGACTGTTTTAAGAAACTGGTAAGAGTTGCATACCATGCTCTTGGTGCTTGTTTTAACCCATAACGCTTTATCTAAAATGTATACATGATAAGGATGCATTTCATTTACGAAACCTGGAGGTTGTTCACGTAAACAGTTTCTTCAAGTTCGCCATTGAGAAAAGCACATTTCACATCTATTTGATATACATCGAAATCCTTATGAGCTGCATAAGCTAAGAATATTCGAACAACCTCGAGTCTTGCAACAGGGGCAAAAGTTTCTTCATAATCAATCCCTTCTTGTTGCGAATATCCTTTTACAACTAGACGTGCTTTATTTCGTACAATATTTCCATCTTTGTCTGTTTTTGAAAATCCATTTTAACCCGACAATCGAAACATTTTCAGGTTTAGGAATTAATCGCCAAACCTTGTTTCTATCGAATTCAGCCAGTTCAGATTGCATTGCAACAACCCAATCCGAGTGTTCCATTGCAACCTTAACTGTCTTTGGTTCAATTTTAGATGAAAACATTGAACATGCAAAATTCTTGATGAGTATTTAATACCTCATTCTTTTGCACGAAGCTGAGCTCTTGTTAATACTCCATCTTGAGGATTTCCAATGACTTGATCTTCTGGATGAGTTTTTGTCCATTTCTCTAATGGTGGATATGCTGGATCAAATTCTAAAGGTGCATCTTCGTACAACTTTTCATTTTCAGATCCTGCAACAGAAAGATTATCATTTATTTCGTGAAATTCATCATTTTGATCAAGACTTTCGACAGAATTATCATTTTGATGCTCCCCCTCAACAAGATGCTCCCCCTCACCAACTTCATCCATTCTCCCATTCTCCCCCTCGAAAGAATGCTCCCCCTCAACCAGAGTATTCGAATCCAAGTACTCTCCCTCCACTGGATTATTATGCATACTTTCACCAACTTCTGGAGAATGTGTTATTGAATTAACATCTTCAATAGTTTGAGGGATTTGCAAGTCATCAGTATGCTTCAACAATTCAGATTGTTGGTTATCATTTGCACGAACTTCAGC